ATATCATTAAGGAAACAAAATCTGGGAAATCTTGTGGGAAGGAAACATTGCTTCCTATGAAAGATCGGATCTAGATTTTAAATTTAGGATGGTGCCACAAAGGGTGTACTTCATCAATAATGGATGATCTTAAGAGAAAACTTGCTCTACACAAAATATCAAATATTGAATTTGAAACTACGATGGTGCTACATTGGGCGTGCTATATCACTAGTATATCTAATCCTAAGGCAAAAAAGCATGATGACTCACATCTAACCTTAAGAAAAAAATGGAAGATCTTGTGGGAAGAAAGCATTGTTTCCCATAGAAGATCAGGTCTAAATTTTGAATTTAGGATGGTGCCACATAGGGCATGCTCCATCACTAAAGGATGATCTTATGTTGAAAAAACTTGCTCTACATGAAAGATCAAATCTGGATAATTATGTGGGAAGGAAGCTTGCTCCACATAGGGGACCAGGTCTGGAATAATCGTATGTGGAGGAAACTTGTTCTACATAGAGGATCGGATTTGGAATGATTATATGTGGAGGAAACTTGTTCCACAAAGAGCATTGTATTTGGAATGATCGTATATGGAGGAAACTTGCTCTAAATAGAGGATTGGGTCTAGGAGGATCATATATAGAGGAAATTTCTACACATAGAGGATTATGTTTGGAATAATTGTATGTAGAGAAAACTTGCTCCACACAGAGGATTGAGTCTAAAATAATTGTATGTAGAGGAAACTTGCTCCACACAGAGGATGGAGTCTAGAATGATCATATGCAGAGGAAACTTACTCTACATAGAGGATTAAGTCTAGATGATAGTATATGGAGGAAACTTGCTCCACATAAAGGATCAAGTCTGAAATGATCGTATGTTGAGGAAATTTGCACCACATAGAGGACTAGTTTGAAATTATCGTATGTGGAGGAATCTTGTTCCACATAGAGGATCAAGTCTTGAATGATCATATATAGAAGAAACTTGCACCACATAGAGGATCAAGTCTAGAATGATTGTAGGTAGAGGAAACTTGCTCCACATAGAAGATCGAGTCTGGAATGATCATATGCAGAGAAAACTTGCTCCACATAGAGGATTGATCTAGAATGATTGTATATGGAGGAAACTTGCTCCATATGGAGGATCAGGTCTAGAATGATTGTATGTAGAGGAAACCTGCTCCACATAGAGGATTATATTTGGAATCTAAAATTTGATATTTAAATTTGGGGGATCTTTAAATTTAATTTGATTTAATTTTTAATTTGAAGGATCTTTGAATTTGAAGTTTGATTTTGAATTTGAATTTGAAGGGTTTTGAATTTGAATTTTGATTTAATTATAAATTTTAAATCTTAAAAATTTCTTAAATCTAGGAATTTGTAAAGTTTTTGTTAATGTTGAATTTGATACTCATCTAACATGGTACTTCCTAAAGAGCCATCCTGATGTTTAAAATTATTAAGTGGCATCTTCTAGGGTTGATCAGTTAATATTTTTATTTCCATCAAAGATCATCTCTATAACAAGAGGAGTCTTGTATTGGTTAAAACTCCTCCATCGATCCCTTAGTAGGCATAGATGAGAATTCGAAGAACTTGGAGCAAGTCTCATACTTGGAAGGTTCTAAGTCGCACTATCTTATCACAAGCTTGAACCACTCAGGCTTTTTACGACTTTGAGTTTTCATGAGCCTTGAAGTTGATGCTCTATAAGGCCATGAACTCCTCCAATTAGAGTCGGGCACTCTACTTAGTCGTGAATTAATTTGGAATGGCAATTCTCAGCATTGTAAAATACTCCTCTAGTAGGGTTGATTTTGGACCCAACTTATAGTGTAATTTTGTTAAGGAGGCCTTGAAGGAAAAGATGTCTATATGTAAGGACCTAGACACATTTCTCAATGACAATATTTGAATTTTTATCAATAGTAGAGGATTTGTTCTTTCTATTAGAAAATTTCCTCTAACTATTTGGACCCTATTGGAACAACAAGCGGGAGAAAATTTACAAGTGTACTGAGAAGTGGATCGATTTTAACTAACCTTCAAAGGTTTGAGAACTTAGTTTTCACTGACCCAGACCAAGTTTCTTAGAAACTAAACTAGGGTCTCCCTTGAATATTTTGAATTAAAATTAATTTCAAAAGGATGTAAGTAAGAAGTAGAAATTTGATCTTTCAATTCTCTTGCACGATATTTTTTTATCTAATAGATAATTCATGCATGGTGAATAATTTAGATTCAAGATTTTCAAAGTCAAATATCTAAAGGTGATCGGGTTTTTATTCTGAGATTAAAGGATTTAAAATAAGGAATGCTTCTTACTCTTCTTCTCTTTTTTTGGTGATGCACTTTGCGCATCTTTTTGACTTTTGGTGCTCTTCGTGCATTTCTTGATTTTTAATGCACTTTGCCCATCTTTTAATTTGAACTGATTTTAGAAGAGGCTTCACTTTCTTTAAAATCTCAAAATGATTGTTCTTTTTTTTTTTTAATGCTAGGATTATATCTCAAGTATTAGAGAAGAAAACTGATTCTCTTATACAAGGAAGAATGATCCTCAAAGCACACCCAATCTTTTGAAAAAAAATATCAACTTGATTAGGAAAATCATTGAATAGATTCAAAGCATGTAGGAGATGCCTATTAAGTAAATGGAATGGATTAGGACTAAGAGGTCATTTGACCATCTTTGACCATTCCATTTGCTTAGTTTGATTGTTTGACAAGTTCAATGCCACTTGGACTACTGAGGTGGTAGTAAGGTGGCCTGGTGAGCTGTTTGGATACCTTGGGCCCAATGCCTAAGGAAATGGATGAGTATTTAATAGGGTTTGTTCACTTAAAGCCCCATTCAAAGCATTTTTTGACTATTTAACTAGTCAAATAGTCAACCTATGCTTAGGTGTACATGGGGAAAACATTATTTACTAGTTGAAGTGATTTGAAGGATGTTTGAGGCTTACAAGTTGGAGTTTGAATGCATGAGAAGGAATTTGAGCTATTTTGACCAAGTCTTAATCTATTGACTTGGTCAACTTAGCTTGAGTTTGACCCATATTAAATCAAAGAAGGTTCAAAGCATTGAATGGAATATGCTTGAAGTTTCGTGAAGCAAATTGAATAGAAGGACATGTGGAAGATATGATTTGACTATGGGTTTGGGTTTGAGTAAGTCATACTCAAAGTGATTTGACTTAAAAAAGATTTGAAAATATTTGAATCAAGTTTTGAAAGGAGCTTGAAAGTTTGAGGGATTTGGAGACTAAGAGAGCTTAACTTAAATGGTTAAGGTGATTTTGAACCTAATAGGTCAAGTTTGACTATATTTGAGTTTAGTTGACTAGGTTAACTATTGACTAGGTCAATGGGTCTAATCAAGTCCAAATCATTGGAGGATATAACTAGATAAAATTGAGTGGGTTTGATGTTGATTCAATGTTTTATTGGATTGACATGAGCTGATGGTTTGATTTGGTCAGCCTAGGTTTACTTGGTAGACTAGGTTGACCAAGGGCCAGGATTTGAACTTGATAGATTTTATTTCTAGGTTGGTTTAAGATCTGGACTGATCAGGATTTTGGATGATTGGATTTGAATTATCTATATCAGTTATGATCATTTTGATGATCATAAGTGATATGATAGGAAGCTTGATCAGAGACATGATCAAGGTTTGAGCTGGAGTTGGGATCATGATAGGTTTAAAGGCTTGATATGTTTGAAGTATGTATTTGATTTTAATCTAGATTGATTAGGATTCTAGATTTATGAGATATAGGTTGATCTAAGATCAGATTTGATCCTAGGGTCTAGACAAACCTAGAGTTTGGAATGATTTAAGATCTGAATTAATCCTATGGTCTAAATTAATCTAAGGTCTAGGTAGATCCTAGGATTTAGATTAGTCTGGAGGAATCCTAGGGTCTGAATTCTAAAAGGATCCTAGGGTTTAGGTAGATCCTAAGGTCTAGATAGATCATAGGGTCTGAAGTCTACGAGGATCCTAGAGTCTATAGTGGTCTGGAGGAATCCTAGGGTCTAGATATATCCTGAGATATGGATTGTAGAAGGATCCTAGGGTCTAGATATATCCTAAGGTCTAAATGGATATGAGATCTGGATTGGTCCAAGTGACCCCATACAAAAATGAGGTCAACACAGCTGTCCATTAGAATTGGAAAGCCAGAAATTACTTTAAGCATGGAAAGATGGTGCCTTCAGCTTCAATGATTGCAGCTCAAATTCTTTTAAAATCAATTCATCCGCAATTGTATCCGATTTGTCAGAACTGGGATATTAACTAGTGTGATGTGCTGTATAAAGATTGGTATCCACCTCCTCCAGATTGGTTAAAATTGAACATAAAAATGCTTCTCTTACACAGGCTAATATAACGGGTATAGCTGTTGTGTTGCGAGACCATAACAGAAGATTATTACTTATGTATGAAAAGAAATTAGTTCATTGGGATATATCGTTATTGGCGAAATTGATCGCTATTTTCGATTTCAGGAAAATAATCCAAGAATGGATGACTGACAAGAAATGAATTATTATTAAATGTGATAATGTTAACATTATCAATTTATTGCATAATTTAGTAAGGAAGACCAAAGAATGGAATAAAAGAATTCAAAGAACTAAATAAAATAATTCAAAGAATGGATTTCTCTTTTCTAGAAGTCTTTAAGGAATACAATTTTCGTTTTTGTTTCTAGAGATAGTAATAAAATGATTGATTTCTGTTCTCGCCATACCCTCTTATGTGATTTTTTTTTTTCTTGGGAATGTTTTTGTTGATAGTGAACTTCCTTCAAAATTTATTAACTTGAGTAGGAAGAATGTGATAGATTGACTATCACATAATATCTTTTATCTTTTTCTTTTCTTTTTAATGATAATTACATATATATATATATATATATAGGTTTGTTTACATAAATAGAATTAGCTAGTTGGTAAAAATATATAACCCTTAAAACTCCTAATTTTATTTTTTACTTTTAGCGCCTCCGTTTTTCCTTCCGTTGCACGCTCTTCTCTTCTTTTCTACAAGAGATAGGTCTGTTCTCTGCGATTCTCTCTCGAACGGCGATTCTGTTCTTCTCGCAGGAGCGTGCATATATTGCGTTTTTTTGGGTGGCGACCGCACTCTGTCTTGTAATTGCAGCGATCTGATAGATTTCAGCCCTGTGTATCGATTGGGGGCGTCAGGGCGGCGGTGATCAGACGAGATCGATGAATTTTTGTGTGTAATTTGTTTTCGTTTTCGAAGTACTTCGAGGAAGAAGGGACACGGTTTTGTGGGTTTAGAGAAGGATTGGTGGATGGGCACATGAAACGGACCGGCGAGGAGGAGGGTTTCATGGGCTCCCAGCTGAAGCGGCCAAACTTGTCGAGATCGGATCCGTGAGTTATTAGCTTTGTTTTCGGTTTATCTTTATTATTACTCTTTTTTTTATTGTAGTTACTTTGGAATTTTTGCCCCAATTTTTTCCCAGTTTCGTGGGTGGATACTTTGGATTGATTTTGTTTAATCGGGGCTTGCTTTCTTCTAGATTTGTAGAAGTGGGTTTTTATGCTTGTGTTTTCATTTGGGAGTACCGTTACTGCTTAGTTCTAGAATTTCTCCAGAGACCTGATGGGCTAATTGGGGTAATTAGATTGCTTGCTGAATTCCAATTTATTTGTATATTTGTGATTTATGGATACCGATTGCTTGATGCTTTCAGACTTCGAATGAGGATTTTGAAGTCGCTATTCATATAGGTCTTCGCTGATATACTTAATAATCTCTGCCCTCCTGGCGTGAAATTCTTAATGTTTTAATTCGTCCTAGTTTCCATACTCGGAATAACGAGTTGGGTGGACAGGAAAGGAGGCTTTCTGTTGTGTTTGCCCCTTACGAGCTTTTTTTGTTTGGCTGGTCATGGTGACATGATTTTGGATCTGTGATAATTTATTTGAGTTTGATGGTCTTTTTGAAGATTCGGGCAACCACATATGGCTCCTGCATCTGCCGCAAGTAGTACTCAGAAGTTGACAACTAATGACGCCTTGGCGTATTTGAAGGCTGTTAAAGAGATATTTCTGGACAATAGAGAGAAGTACGATGACTTTCTGGAAGTAATGAAGGATTTCAAGAGCCAGAGGTCTGCTCAGATCTGCCACGAATGCCTGAAATTATCTTTTGTTTTGTTGATTTATTTATTAATGCCGTTTTTGCATCCATGAAATGTTTTTTTTGGTTTTCTCTGGTACTGTTTGGTTGCAGGATTGATACAAGTGGAGTAATTATGCGAGTGAAAGAATTATTTAAGGGGCATCGTGATCTTATCTTGGGTTTCAACACCTTCCTGCCTAAAGGCTATGAGATAAAGCTTCCTGAGGACAAGAAGCCTGTTGAGTTTCAGGAGGCTATTAGCTTTGTGAACAAAATTAAGGTACTGATTTTAAGAGAAGGGAGTTTTCTAATTTGGATTGTTTTGTTGAATCTCTTCTCAGCTAAGGCTATTTTCTTTTCTGACTGCAGAGTCGATTTCACGATGATGAACACATTTACAAGTCATTTTTAGATATTCTAAATATGTATAGGAGGGAGAACAAATCAATCCATGAGGTTTACCAAGAGGTATTTGATGATAATACTATGGAAGGGCAAAATTTAATATTGTGTTTGTTTTTACAAGCATGGTCATATTCTTTCATTCAGTGGCAGTGCTTCTTTTTTAAAAATCATCATTGTATACAATGAAAGGGTATATTGCATATTTAATTTGTTTTTAAATGGTTATTTAACTATGATCGCTTTCTGTCTTTAGGTGGCTGTGCTTTTTGAAAATCATCATGATTTACTAGGGGAGTTTACACATTTCTTACCTGATACCTCTGCTACAACTGCTCAACATTTATTGTCGGGTAAATCCTTTACCAGGCGTGATGAGAGGAGCTCTATGATGCCAAACGTGAGACATCCTCACATGGAAAAGGTATTAGGTATCCTTGGAAAACTTTGACGTTGCGGTCTATTTATAAGATTTACAAATAAACATTAATTTTTTTTTTTTTTTGCATTTGTATATAGCTATTGCATGCAAAAATCTTTAAATGACGTGTCATATACCATCTATGATAGTTTGATTCGTTGGTTATTGTTGGAGCATTAAATTATTGACAAGTCTCGTCACATTTTTTGTCTGCCAAAACACTTTTCGTTGGCTTGTTTTATAGATTTTTTATTATGTGGTTGAATTTTGTAGACTTTTCAGCTAATGGTGCATTATACTCTTTCTTAGAAGGAAAGGGTTTACAACGCACATCCTGAGCGAGACCTTAGTGTTGATCGTCCTGATTCAGAACTTGAGAGGCAGAAGAGACGTGCTGAGAAGGAAAAGGATAGAAAGGAAGAAAGGGATAGAAGAGATGGTGACAGGGATGAGCAAGACATGGAGCATGATTGTAAGGATTTGGAAATACATCTAAAAAGGAAACCTTCTCGTAGGGTTGATGAATCCACTGACCAAAGGCACCAGGGAGAAGGCGCTGATGAATTTGGAATGTACAACATAGCTGGTTCTTCAGTTGATGATAAGAATGCCATGAAGAGTAAGCTTTTTATATTTCTCTATTTTCTAATAGAGCATGTGAATCCTAAATCCACTGCTTCCATTGATTTTCTGGCATCGTTTTTTATCTTTTATTCTCCTGTGCGCTTAATTTTGTCTTAATTTTTTTTTCCAACCCAATATAATTGTTAATATTTTGAATGTTTGCAACATTTAAGTTTATGATCAAAATTTTATGTTTGGCAATGAAGTAGTTTTGTGCCCTGAACTTGCTAACTCTCATGTAGGTATTTAATTGATTCGGAAGTCTCAATGTTTTTGGATATCTAAATATGATTTCTTTAGTTGGACCTAATTTTATTTGAATTTTCGAACTTCCATTAATTTGATACTATGAAAAATTTAAATTGATCCTTTCAATTGTTTATCTATTTTTCTTTTTCCTACCCATGACCTTAGAATGTTTATACAAGTTATAATTTAATCTTTTGTTGAATTTATTGTTTGTTGATAGATTAATTTTAAAATAAGTTTATTCGGTCCACATATTTTAGTTGATTTGATTCATCTGCCTGGTATGCTGGTACTTGTAGCGTTCTTCCTTCTCATCCCCTAGCCTCATGATATGATAATCATTTCAGGTGTATACACACAAGAATTTAATTTTTGTGAGAAAATCAAGGAAAAGCTGCAACCAGATACGTACCAAGAGTTTCTGAAGTGTTTACATATATATAGCAAGGAGATCATTACAAGAACTGAACTGACGAATCTGGTACAGTTTCTTTTCTTCATTTAACCTTTCTGATATAATTCTTATGGTACTTCTGTTTAATTTACAGGTGGCAATTCTTTATTGCTTATATTGCCAAACAACCATTTCCTATTTCCCCTGCTCAATATAATATTAAAAAAAATTAAAAAGAAATCCTCTGAATTACTTTTGGCACCAGATATTCTTTACAGTTTTATAAATTTATTACGCTAGCATTATTAAGATTTGGGTACTGTACGGCTTGGTTTGCCATGTAGTTGATACTGGAATTATCTTTATTGAAGGCTAATAAAATGATTTTAACAAAACACAATGGTTGGATGATAAATATGAGTAGAAGTAATGCTGTGATGCCAGTAGTTATAGTGTAGGTTATGCTGTGGAAACAAGTATTGGAATCTGCCCTGTTAATTGCGTTAAGAGTTGTTATTGGTGATAGATGGACTGTGATATTTGAAGTAGTCATTGAAACAATACCTCAGGCATTTAGGCGCATGTATGTAAAACTCTATTTTGAAAAGCTTAGGAAGGATCTGCTTTAGGTTGTTGCAAAATTTACCATGCTGGCACATTTGTTTAGCTTGGAATGAAATGTTATCATTACAATGACTTCAGCCTGAATAATCTTTTGGGGCTGAGCTCATGATGTGATGCGTTGGAGAGTTACACAAGAATTTAAAACGAGAATTAAATTTCAGCTTCTCAAATTATTTAATCATGCGTCAAAGTTAAGTCAATTATAAATCATTCGTGGTGTTCAATATGCTAGGCAAAGAAACTACAACAAGAGAGCCAAGTCTTTTAAGCAATTGCAAAAGAAAACATAACACAATAGCTAGTAAGTAAAAATCCCACGATTAATACCAAGTTGTTCACACTTTGAGGTCTTTAGCACTCTCTTCCTACGAAGACTAAGTTGAACGGCGGAAGATTGTCCAAACTAGCATGGAGGTTGCCACTAAGATGGAAGCGCCAAGGAACGTCGCCGTGGAAGAAGATTTCGGAGGCGGAGGAGGCACGGTAGATCGACCTTCGATAAGCCAGGTGTAGTCGGAGAAGTGTTCGTCGACTGATTCTATGAGCGTCGGCACGATGCGGGCCAAATATTCTTTCACGGTATCGTCGAAATCAAATCCGACGTCGAAGAATTGTGACCGGAGGATGTCTACTCGTCCTTGATCGTCGTATTCAAACCCGAAATTCCATTCGAGAACCTCCATACAACATTGAAGTGGGATAGAGGGGCGTTGCGACGGAATCCCCAAAGGGGGAGCTAGGGGCCGGCGGGTTGGGAGCAAGGGGTGAGGCCGGCGGTGGAATTAGGGTGAGGAGAGGAGAGAGCTTTTGGAAAACTGAATTTGATTTCAGTTTTATGAATTTGGGGGGGAAATAGCAATGGGATTTGAAATTCCTAATTAATGCAATTAAGGCATTAATTAAAATTTCAGTGAAGCCAATGGGGAGCCGGCGGTGAGGAGAGAAGGGAGGAGATTGAAAACTGAAATTATTTCACTTTTAGTAAGCTTGGAGGGAAAAATATTTGCATTCAATTTAGGATTTCAAATTACATTAGGTGATTGAATGCAAAATTAATGGGATGGCTTGATAGGGGGGCCGGCGGGATTACTAGAGGGAGGCGGGTTTGGAGAGAGGGAGAGAGGTTTCCAACCTTGGCATGATGACTAGGATGAATCTTAATGAAATCCAATTTGATTTTAAATTCAATTTGGATTCAATTACAAACTTTCCAAATATAGAATTTATGAATTTGGGAAGAATTTTGGAGCCCAAATTTCAAAATTCAAAGCATCATGAGAGGGTAGGAGGCGGATGGTGATGGGGCGGCAAGGGGTGATCGGAGGTGGGTGGTGTGGCCGGCGGCGGGAGATCCCCAAAGGAGGAAGTCGGCGGCAACCTCTAGAGGGGGATGTAGGTGGAGCTCTTCTTGCGGAAAAGAAAAGGAATTGAATAAAATAAAAAAAAGGAAAACGTGGAGAAACTCACTAAGAGATCCCAATCGAAGAACTCACATAGAGATCTCCATGCACTCACAAAGAGAACAAGCAAGAAATATCATTCCTTCAATAAAATCCTCATACAAGATACAATGGCCATATAAATAGGCCCCAAAGAAAATAAAGTGCAAAAGTCTAAAATGCCCCTTGGGGCTACAAAAGCAACTACTACCCTCAGGGGTAAAATGGGAAACTACGAAAATAAAGGCATAATGTGAAAACTGATGGTACAAGTAAAATAAAAAATAAAGGCTAGCAATCATGGCCGTCGATCTCCGTGGTCGTCTCTGATAGACGCGCCAAAATCTCCTATCGATGACCTCATCAGCTCATGGTTGACATTTTGTCCTAAATTATCAATTTTGTAGAGTCCGGCGAAGCTGGATGCTTGAAATTTGAAAACCAACACCACCCTTCTCGTATTGAATATTTAACATTAGTATTTTGATTGCCTTATCCAACTCATGGTTTAAAATTGCGCAATATGAGGCTCGCCTTTGCGCAATTCCGGTAAAAAACTCGATGCTTACGCCTCGAGTTTTTTTTATGAGGCCTGCGCCTCAACTTGGCTGAGGTCCGCTTCGCCTCATTGGCATGAGGCTTACGCCTCATTGGCATGAGGCTTACGCCTCATTGCTATATATATTAAAACTTACATAAATCTTGAAGTAAATGCTCGACATTAGACTCTATAGGAGAGGAGGAAGGGGAGAGAGCAGTTCACCATAATGATGATTCAAATGAAGAACCCCTTAGTGATGACAGTGCTGATAACTTATGAGTTCTTATGTGATATGTCATTGCTATTTATTTTTGGAAATCGGAATTATATGTTAATGAAAAGAATATTGGGATTTCGGAAAGATAGAATTTTGAATTAAACTATATTTCATGTTGTCTTATTATTGATATATTTTAATTTCACTTCACATCTTATGCTTTTTTATGTTTTATATTATTCACTCATTAGTATATAACAAATTTATCATTTTATGTTTATGCAATCTTTTGATTTTGAGGCTTACGCCTCGCTTCACGAATGAAAAACGCCTTAATACCCAAATACGCATTTTAAACATTGATCCAGCTTGAACATAAAAAAGAGTTTATGCCATTGATTGTAGTCTGCATGCTTGCTTGGGTTTATACCAGGATTAATTGAAGGTCAAGCCAGTTCAATTCAGCTCAAATTCAATATCCACCAAGTTTCTTGTGTAGTTTCTTCTAAAATTTTATCTGCCTGATTTGTTAATCTAAGAAGTGTAATTACTCTTGATTTGCAAGGTGATGTTTATTGTATGATGAAAATAATGAGAGATTAATTTCCCATGGAAGCTATTATTCTGGATCACTTAAGGTTGAAGATGCAATTCTGTTGCATTCAACTTGTTGAGCAAATATTCTGTACAATTATTTGGCATTATTATATTGGTAGATTTCCAATTCATGCAAAGCTATGTGGAGGAATAGAGCTTGGTAAAAATTAGGATAACTATACCCTTTTTTTAATAATAATCATGAATTTTTTTTTTTGTATTTTTGTTTGCATAATTTCTTTTTTTTTTCAGTTATAGGTTTATTTCATGAAGAATTTACATTTCATTAAAATATACTCTTTCAAGATGGTTGAATGCATGTGTTTTAGTTGCAATTTATATTTCTGTCAACAAACTGTATTTATAGAGACGTACATGTGAATGCATCTGTTCTTAGTTCGCTTATTTTGAGTACGGATATATGTTAACATTTATCTTATGCATGCATACCTATGCCTTTTTTCTGTTTATACTAATAGGTATATTGCTTGCTTTTTGACCCAATAAGGGAAGGCCTGCCTCGCTTGTAATTCCTACTAACCATTTTATATAATTCGCAGGTAAGTGATATTCTTGGAAAATATCCTGATCTAATGGATGGATTTATTGAATTTTTGGCACACTGTGAGAATATTGGTAAGTTTGGAATTTCTTGATTAGCATAAATTTCATTAAGCTTTACCTTTATTTGAGACCTATGGATTGGCTTGATGGTTTCTAATTGAGAGTTTTTGATGCAGATGGATTTCTCACAGGTGTATTCAATAAAAGTATGTCAAATATCCCTCCCCCACACCCCCCTCCCTCTTTTTTTTTTTTAATTTCCATATATCTACGTTCTACATTGGAAGAAAAATCTATATATGTACTGGCATATTTTCTCTTATTTAAATTCCTAAATTTGGTCTTCAAATGCAAAATCTGCATTGCGAAATCTTTCTAACATCATTAAAATTATTGGAATACACAATCTAAAATATTTTTAAGAACGATTTACAATCCATTTGATGTGTTACAAGTTTCTCCGTGGGCAGTGCGGGGGTTCTGATAGGAAATACTTGAAATCAAGTAATTCCTAGACAAAACTGAGGCGGAACCAGGGAAAAACTGCTATCTCCAGCAGTGGACAGCAGCTTTACACAGGAAAACAGTGAGGAAACGCGAGAAAACTGAGATCCAACGCAAGCAAAGGCTAGTATTTTATTAGTAGACGAATAAAATTGCAAAGATACAATTTGTTCTTCAATTCGAGAGGAAGAATGTACTCTCCAAAGTCTCCGGCGAAGCCAAGAGCCCAAAACAAAACCTAGATCTCAAAGAGAATACTCAAATGCAAGATAATCCCTAATTCTCTCATAACTCTCTAATTAAAGCAAAAGGAAAGATACAAATTACATAAACACCCTTTTCATTCAAAAATTTCCTCCAACGAAACGCTCAAAAACCGCCTAGCCCGCTCCTTCGTCTGCCGTTTCTGCGATCAGCGTGTTCCGCCCGGCTCTGGACCGTCGGGTGTAGAACTGGACCGGTCCAGCTGGGACCGGTCCAATGTTATGTGTAATATTACCGCCCTCCCAAAGAATCACCTTGTCCTCAAGGTAAAAATCAGGAAACTGATGTTTCGTCCTCTCGTATGGCTCCCACGTGGCCTCGTAGTCAGGAAGGTTCTTCCACTGGATTAACACTTCCTTAGTTTTATCTTCTTTTTGGCGAACCCCCCCTCAGCTCCAAGGGTTCCATGATCACCTCTAATTCCTCCGTAAGTGTGGTCGGCAGCTCGGGAATGGTGATGTGATCTCCAATGGCCTTTCTCAACTGTGAGACGTGAAAAACCGGGTGTATAGTCGCCGATGGGGGTAATTTCAGTCGATATGCTACTGCCCCAATCTTTTCCATCACTCATAAGGACCAAAGTACCTTGGAGCCAGCTTTTCATTCCTCCTGTTGGCGACTGTCTTCTGCCTGTATGGACGGAGCTTCAAGAACACCTTATCCTTTCTATGCCCATCTGCTTGCTTCTTCATGATTTGCTGCGCCCTCAGCAAACGCCTCTTTAACTCCTCGAGCACTCGATCCCTTTCCGCCAAGTACTCCTCTACTGACGAAACAGGAGTACTATTGCTCCCAAAGTGTACCAAGTATGGGGGATCCCGTCCGTACAACACCTTGAATGGGGTCATCTGTGAAGTTGAGTGAAATGACGTCCAATACTCGGCCCAGGATAGCCACTTTGCCCATAGCTTTGGTGTTTCTGAAACGAAGTATCTTAGGTAAGTCTCCAAGCTCCTGTTGACTACTTCCGTCTGGCTATCCGTCTGGGGGTGGTAGGCTGTGCTTCTCTTGAGAACTGTTCCCTGCAATCTGAATAACTCCCTCCAGAAATGGCTGAGGAATACCTTGTCCCTGTCTGATACGATCGCCTCTGGCACTCCGTGTAATCTGACCACTTCTCTGATGAAGGCTGATGCTACTGTTACTGCGGTGTAGGGATGTCGGAGGGGAATGAAATGGGCATACTTGCTCAACCTGTCCACCACCACTAAGATCACCGTGAACCCATTTGAACGAGGCAGCCCATCTATGAAGTCCATAGATATCTCCTCCCATACTCTACCCGGCAAAGCTAGCGGTTGTAGTAAACCTCCTGGTGACATAGCTAGGTACTTACTCCTTTGGCAGACCTCACATCTGGCTACCATCTCCTCTACATCTTTATGCATCCCTTTCCAGTACAACTCCCTAGCTAGTCTCCTGTATGTCTCCTGAATAACTCCCTCCAGTACAACTCCCTAGCTAGTCGCCTGAGTGGCCCCCACTGCACTCCCATGAAACTCCTGGAGTAGGTTTGGGATGTGGATCGACGTCCGGGGCATCACAAATCTCCTATGATACAGCAGTTTGTCTCCCTCTAGTGAGTACCCCGGGTGGCTACCTGGTTCCTTCAATAACTCACTCCTGATCTTTCCCAAACTCTCATCTCTAGCGCTTTCTTCTCTGATGGCCTCCCAATCAAGCATCAAAGGAACGGACAGAGCAATTGTCTGTAGTTTCTCCATACATCTGGACAAGGCATCTGCCACCTTGTTCTCCACTCCGGGCCTATACTGAATCTCAAAATCGTACCCCAGTAACTTGGACAACCACCTCTGATGCTCTTCTGTCACCATCCGCTGTTCCAGAAGAAATTTCAGGCTCCGCTGATCCGTCTTGACAATGAAGTGTCTTCCCAGTAGGTAGGGCTGCCATTTCTAGATGGTCAACACGATGGCCATCAATTCCCTCTCATATACTGATTTCATCCTTGCTCTAGCAGTCAATACATGGCTGAAATAAGCGATGGGCCTCTGATTTTGCATAAGTACTGCACCCAATCCGTATTCGGATGCATCTGTCTCCACAATGAATGTCTGAGTAAAGTCTGGCAAAGCAAGGATCGGCACTGTAGTCATTGCCCTCTTCAGGCTCTCGAATGCTGATGTGGCTGCTTCCCCCCACAAGAACCCATCCTTCTTCAACCGCTCCGTAAGTGGCCATGCTATGGCGCTATACCCCTTTACAAATCTTCGGTAATACCCTGTCAATCCCAGAAATCCCCTCAGCGCCTTCAGATTTTTCGGTAGTGGCCACTGAAGCATCGCCTCAATTTTAGATTGATCCGCTGTCACTCCTTCCTTTGATACCACATGTCCCAAGTACTCTACAATAGCTTGTGCAAAGCAGCATTTCTTTAAATTTGCCCTCAACTGATGCTCTCGCAATACCTCTAACACTTTCTTCAAATGTTCCTAATGTTCGACTTCCGACCTGCTGTATATCAGGATGTCGTCAAAAAATACTAACACAAACCGTCTGAGATATGATTTGAAAACCTTATTCATCAGGGCCTGGAAAGTAGCGGGGGCATTGGTGAGACCAAAAGGCATCACCAAGAATTCATAATGACCTTCATGAGTTCTAAAAGCCGTCTTGGGAACATCTTCCTTTCTCATTCGAATCTGGTGGTAGCCCGATTTCAAATCTATCTTGCTAAATATCACAGACCCGCTTAATTCATCCAATAGTTCGTCGATAACGGGTATAGGAAACTTGTCAGGTACCGTCTCCTTGTTGAGTGCCCTGTAATCCACACAAAATCGCCAGCTGTCGTCCTTCTTTTTCACCAACAGAACGGGACTAGAAAAAGGGCTGATGCTGGGTCTGATGATCTCTGCTTCCAGCATCTCTCTAATCAATCGTTCAATTTCATCTTTCTGGAACTGAGGGTAACGGTACGGACGTACACTGATGGGTGAAACCCCGTCCCTCAACACAATAGCATGCTCTCTCTCCCTCTGCGGTGGTAATCTCTGAGGCGGCTGAAACACCTCCTGGAACTGCTGAATCAGCGGTTGAACAGAGAGGGGTATGTCTCCCCCCTCTTCCATTCTTGCTCCCTCCAAACTGTGCAATTCCACCAAATAGCCTCCTCCCTCCTGCTGAATGGTCCGAATTAGGGATTTGAGAGAAACCCCAGCCTTGGTCAATCCAACATCACCCTGAATCATCCTCCTCCCCTCTATCACCAATTCCATCTTCAGTGTTCCCCAGTTGATTTTAGTCTCCCCCAAAGTGCGCAGCCACTTTATCCCTAGGATGACGTCAGTGCTCCCCAATTCCAGGGGAAGGAAGTCCTCCCTTACCTCGATCCTCTGAATCTTCAGCACCACCTCTCTACAAACTCCTCTACTCATTTCCACCTTGCCCGTGCCCATCATCACCCCATAGCCTCCGGTATCGACTAGTTCCATTCCCATCTGATCAACAATTTGGGTGGAAATGAAATTATGGGTTGCCCCACTATCGATCAACACAACCACCTCACGGTCAGCTATCTCTCCTCTCACTTTCATAGTGTGACTCGGGGTGAATCCCACTACAGAGTTGAGGGAGACTTATGCCACATCCAAGTGTAGCTTCTCCTCCTCCTCCTCTTCAGTCCTGCACCCACCTCCCTCCTCGTCTTCCTCGTCTTCACAGACTAGGAGAACTTGAAGAGTTCGGTCCTTGCATCTATGCCCCGGCATGTACTTTTCATCACAACGGAAGCACACCCGCTTTGCTCTCTTTTCTTGCATCTCCTTCTCTGTCAGCCTCTTGAATTGTCCCCCATTTCCTCCTCCACCAGATCTCTCCTTGGGCACCTCCCTCTGGTTCCCTGGGGCTACCCCCTTGGAGGGTAATACAATAGTAGTCATCTTGTACGATCCCCCTGAGTAGTTGCTTCGAGATCCTCTTTCTGATCTCTTAAGATCTTCCACCAATTGTACAAGCTCCATAGCCTTGCCTAAGTTCCTTGGCTCCAGCACTCTGACAGCTGTTTGTATTTCCGGTTTGAGCCCCTTCATGAAATTCCCCTTTAGGGCTGATTCTGAGATGTGGTCCAATCGGCTAGCCAAGTACTCGATTATGTCCCGATAGTCAGCCACGGTCCCCTCCTGAGTCAGAGCAAAGAACTGCTCATAGAAGTCTCCTCCCCCATCGGCTCGGAAACGCTCTAATAAACAATCCTTGAACTCTCTCCAGTTCTTGATAGGCTCTCTCCTGTCTCACCACTGATACCATGCCAACGCCTTCCCTTCCAGACACAGTCCTGCCGCCGTCAGCTTCTCATCTTCTGTCAACCCGTTGACTGCAAAGTAACGCTCTACCTTGTATATCCAGCCATGACCATCTTCACCCTCAAAGATGGGCATCTTCAACTTCCTCACCTTCGGATCCCTTCCGTTACCCCGGCACTCTCCATAACCTCCCATTCCTCGAAGAGGAGATGCTCCCCAAGTGTCCCGGTCCTACCTCCGACATTGGTATCCGAATCCGTCGTCAAATTCCCCTCTTCCCCTTTCAAAATCAGCACCTCGACGCTGATATTCTTCTCTCTTCTTTCGCCAAAATCTGCACTTCCCTCATATTCCACTCTCCTGCCTTCAAAATCAGCCCCCTGACGCTGAAAATCAGCACCTCGACGCTGAAAATCAGCACCTCGACGATCATTTCCCATGCTCATCTCCTCTCTAGAAAGTGGCTCTAGAGGTGGCATGTCGTTATCTCCCTCAAAGATCTCTACATCCTGATTCCTCCTCCCCCTACGCGGGTTCGGATTTCCTCCTACGCCGTGGTCTCCGGTAGTCTCTCTTGCTTCCGACGTCGTCGGATTAGTCTTCATCTCCAATAATTTCTTCATCATTTCTTCCATGGCCGTAAATTTGCCCTCCAACTTTTCATTGTTGGTGGTGATTTGATTTTAAAAATCAAAGAATCTCTCATCCAAATCGGTTTTCAATTGACCGACTTCGCCTTCCAAAACGTCCACCTTCTTTCCGGCTATCGTTCTTCTAACGGATCCTCAAAAACTTCTTCCGGAGACGAGAAACTTGCTGAAATTTCAGAATTTCAGCCGCCGGTGGTCCCAAATCGAGGCTCTGATACCAATTTGATAGGAAATACTTGAAATCATTAATTCCTAGCCAAAACTGAGGCAGAACCAGGGAAAAACTGCTGTCTCCAGCAGTGGACAGCAGCTTTACACAGGAAAACAGTGAGGAAACGCGAAAAAATTGAGATCCAACGCAAGCAAAAGCTAGTATTTTATTAGTAGACGAATAAAATTGCAAAGATACAATTTGTTCCTCAATTCGAGAGGAAGAACGTACTCTCCAAAGTCTCCGGCGAAGCCAAGAGCCCAAAACAAAACCTAGATCTCAAAGAGAAAACTCAAATTCAAGATAATACCTAATTCTCTCATAACTCTCTAATTAAAGCAAAAGGAAAGATACAAATTACATAAACACCATTTTCATTCAAAAATTCCCTCCAACGAAACGCTCAAAAGCCGCCTAGCCCGCTCCTTCGTCCGCCGTTTCTGCGATCGGCGGGTTCCGCCCGGCTCTGGACCACCGGGTGTAAAACCGGACCGGTCCAGCTGGGACCGGTCCAATGTTATGCATAACAGGTTCATTATGATTTTCATATGTAAGTGTTAAAAATGACATAAAACTCAATACATGAATTCTTCGTGACACTTATTGCATATATAGTTAGTTTTGATTTGTAAAATATAATGGGAGAGGTTAGTATTTAGGCAGACTTTTATACATCATTTTGTCATCCACATTTTTTATATTTTTTATTAATGACTAAATCTTAAGAAAGCTGATAAAACTAGATCCATGAGCAGTTTTCAAGTTATAAATGAATGTGAATGATGTAATTTTATATTTGATGATAATAAAAGACAATATATTTAAAAATAACTTTGGAGGAGAAAGCCTATTTTCCTTCTAAGAGGAGATTATAGATATATGCATGTGAATCTGAAAATTTTTGTATCTTATTATTTAACTTGATTATATAAAATGTAATTTTTTACTGTCTTGCACCATCAGAACCTTTGTGGAATGAAGTAAATGCAGCTAGACCAGTTAAGATAGATGATAGAGACAGGGATCGTGAAAAAGAGGACAGGGACAGAGATAGGGAGAGAGATAAAGAAAGGGAGCGAATTGACAGAGTTTCGCCATATGTCTCCAAAGAAGCAACTAATAGCAAACTTTCTTCGTTCTCAAATAAGGAAAAATATAATTTATACAAGCCAATATCAGAGCTTGATCTCTCAAACTGCCAGAGATGTACCCCTAGTTATCGTCTGCTCCCAAAGAATGTAAAGAATGCACTACTCTGCACTTTTCTCTGCTATTTGTGACATTTTTCTGAATCAAGTTTAATCTGCTTCAATTGAATATGTTGATTGACAGTACCCTATGCCTGCTGCTAGCCATAGAACTGAGCTTGGTGTATCAGTACTAAATGATGTTTGGGTCTCAGTGACATCTGGTAGTGAGGATTATTCTTTCAAACACATGAGGAAAAATCAATATGAAGAAAGCCTCTTTAGATGTGAAGATGATAGGTAACAAAATCCCCCCTCCCCCCTTTATTTAGTTATGGACAGGCATGCAATTTCTTTGATTTTAATATTGCTTGTTCGGTAAAATCTTTTAACGCTTGAAGAGTAATGATAATTCCAATCTGAAAAGAAAGTGCTTTTACTTTTTCCATTCCACCTGACATTTGAAATAATTGTTTTTTGATAGTCACCTTTTTCTGCTTCTGTTCACCATTGAATCTATTTATATTTGATCAATTTTGTGGATGCACATGTTTGTCGAGTTGCATAGGTATTCTTTAAATATCTCATTGTTTGAGCATGTTCGTTATGATGGTGTTAGGTTTGAGCTGGACATGCTACTAGAATCTGTAAATGCAACTGCCAAGCGTGTGGAGGAATTGCTTGAGAAGATACAGGATAACACTATCAAACCAGAATCTCCATTTCGCATTGAGGATCATTTTTCATGTTAGTGTTCATTAATATTTTATTTCCTGTTTAGCAGCTTGTTACTTCCCAGTTTTTATAGGTCGCATTTTGACTCATATTATTTTGTCCTATATTTTTTGAAATAGCTCTAAACTTGAGGTGCATTGAACGGCTATATGGTGATCATGGCCTGGACGTAATGGATGTTTTGCGTAAAAATGCAAGTCTTGCATTGCCTATCATATTGACTCGCCTGAAGCAGAAGCAAGATGAGTGGTCAAGGTGTCGTGCTGATTTTAACAAGGTATGGGCTGAAATTTATGCCAAGAACTATCACAAATCACTTGATCATCGCAGTTTCTATTTCAAGCAACAAGATACAAAGAACTTGAGTGCAAAAGGTAAGTGGTGGTATCTTTGCTAGTTAAGATATGCTTTTGTTAAGACTACTTTCCGAATTATTAGAATGAACTTTTATTGCAGTTCTGCTGTCTGAAATCAAAGAAATTTGTGAGAAGAAAAGGAAAGAGGATGATGTTCTTCTTGCTGTTGCTGCGGGGAATAGGAGACCTATAGTTCCTAATATGGATTTTGATTATATTGATCGAGATATCCATGATGATCTCTTTCAGATCATAAAATATTCATGTCAAGAAGTCTGCTCATCTACAGACCAGTTGGATAAAGTATTGAGGATTTGGACAACCTTTTTGGAGCCTATGTTGGGTGTTTCTCCCCGACCTCAGCGAACAGAGGAGATTGAGGATTTAACAAAATGTAAAGGTCGTGCCAAAAATGCTGTAATTGTTACAGGCGAAGGTAATGGTAATCCTGCCAATGATGTAGCTATTGCTAATGCCAAGTCCAGTAATGGTGATATTGGCATTACTCGAGAACAAGCAAATTCAAACAAGGCCAGATTAGCTAATGGTGATGCAATGGTTCTTGAGAATGGTGTTCATGATGCTGACCGACCAGTTCATCGAGGTGATAGTGTTACAGGAGCCCTTCTTCACGGAAGATTGCAGATCAGTGCCGCAATGGCTAGCGAAATGTCTGCATTAACTGAACAAGCTGCTCCTACAGAATGTTTAATGCACAATATTACTGCTTCTGCTATTAGAGAAAATATGGATGGTTTATCTGGTAAGTATCTGATGAGGTGTTAAAACTCTTGTTCCCATACTTGTTTGCATTTGTTTTTAACGTAGTTTGATGGGATTTTGTTATTATTTCCTCAAAAGGGATCAGAGCCACTTCAAAATCTTCTCATACTGGAACTGTGTCCATGCTTGAGCCTCGGATTATTACTGAAGTATTGCTTCCTTCAGAGGTGAGCTCTGAAGTTTAATTTATTTCTAAATTTATTTTTTGATTCGTTGTTGCTTACTTGCTTATAGTTACAGAGCATCTTTTTTCTTTCTTTTTTTTTCCCCTTAAAGCCCAGGATAAAGGCTATATGTTGTTGTTGCTGCTGTTGTTACGTTTTTTCTTAGAACTTGCTAATATCGGGATAAGTCATTATGTAGCCTTTTATTTATTATGCCCAGACATTTGGATGCTGGTTTGCCGGGACAGTAATTTTAATTTCATGCTTGTTAAAGAGAGGTCGGGGAGCCAACAACAACATCAAGCCTTTATCCAACTACGTGGGGTCGGCTACATGAATCCTTTTTCTCCATTGTGTCCTATTAGAGGTCAAATTCTCGTTTAAATCTAATAAAGAAAGGTAATTCCTAATATTTTCTAACCACGTCCTTTTAGGTCTGCCTCTACCTTTTTTAACATAAGTCAAATCTTATACCTCTACTCTCCTAACCGGGTCATTGGAAGGCCGCCGTTTTATGTGACCAAACCACTAAGGCGACTCTCTCTAATCTTATCTTCTACTGGAGCTACTCCAACCTTTTCACGTATATGCTCATGTCTTATCCTATCTCTAAGGGTAAAGCCACTCATCACCTGAGCATCCTCATCTCTGCTACACTTAACTTAGTATTATGCTTCTCTTTTAATAGCCAACATTCAGCACCATAAAGCATTGCAGGCCTCACTATCATCTTATAGAATTTTCCCTTAAGTTTGAGGGGTACTTTTCTATCACACAACAAGCCCGATGCATTCCTCTACTTCAACCATCCAACTTGAATTCTGCTGATAATATCCCCATCTATTTCACGATCACTCTGAACAATAGATCCAAGATATCTAAAACGTGTACTTTTATTAATGATTTGATTGCCCAAAGTCACAATCCCCTCACTAGGTCTATTACTACTAAAATTACACTCAATATATTCTGTTTTAAATCTACTCAAGCGAAAACCTTTAGTCTCTAATGTTGATGTTACGCCGGCCCAGGAGGGGCCGGCTGGACCGGTCCAACCCGGACCGGTCCGGGTCTTCTCGCGACGGAAACGCAACCCGCAAGCGGAACCGAGCGGAGGGAGCAAAGTCGACGGGGGCCAGGGAAGAATTTTGGGAGGGAAATTTTGAATGCGAGGGGCTGTTTAGACATTTTGTAAAACTTCTTTATGGTTAATTAGGAGGTTAGGAGGAAAAGGGGGGATGGAGATCTAGGGTTTTGTTATTGGCTCTAGGCTACGGCTAGAGATTTGGAGAGTCATTCCTTCCTCTCGGATTGAAGGGAAATGTATCTTTGTTTGTGTGTCTTGAATCTACTAGTTAATTATACTTTCCCTGATTTTCCTCCATTTTCCTTGAGTTTC